TCATTGACAATGCCCAAAAGCTTTGCATGGACTCAAATTCCGCAGTGCCGCACATATAATGCAATAGCTGATAATAAATAATAATGTATTGAGTGCAGATGATGTAAGCAAGAATACAACAGGTTGATTAAATGCCATCCAAAATCAATAGTCACAATGATGATGAATCTGCTGTGCTGGCCAAGAAAGCGAGTCATGGTGCACTGATTTTGGACAAGTGTGGTCAGCGTGACCCAATCCTTTGCCAATTTACACATTGCACAACATCCAACACCATAATCAGGCCATCACTTACACCTACATTACACACACACACACACACACATGCACAACTGCAGCTGCCATTAAGTTTTATGGCAGTGAAGTGCACCATCTCCATCCCCCATTCCAGTGCCACAACAATCCTTATTGCATTTTGTGCAGTACTTGAAAACGGTAAATGACCGAAGCATGGCGAGATTGTTATCTCATGCATATAGGATGGCGCATTATATGGCCTCTGGCCATAATATATATGGCACATTATGCGACGATGATGGCGATTCCGACGACGATGAGTATTACTGCTGATGTTGGGCAGCACTTGACACAAAACAATAACAACAGCGGCGACCAACACACTGACATATCCCATACATATATAGAGAAAACTTTTCGACATAAAACAATAAAAGTTTTTCGCTTATTGCCCACTTGTCCTTGAGTGGTTTTGCATGAAGTTACCAGGTCGACCCCACAACTGTCATTGATGATGATGATGATGGTGCTGTTGGTGTTGCTGTTGCTGTTGCTGTTGTATCTGCTTGCATTTCGCTAACGGACGCTCAATATTTCGCCAATAAAATATATACACGCACACACACACACATGTATATCTATATATATGTAAAATTATACATAAAAGTATATATTATGTAGCACACTTTGGAGCGTCCATTAGGCGTTGCTCCACATCGCATCGCATCGCATCGCATCTCATCGTTAAACGGTCGCTTCGAATATATATTTATTGATTTTCCATCAGCGCTCGTTCAAGTGTTTAACTATGTGCTAATATTTATTAAAAACCGTTAAGATACGTTACGTAACAGCACACAGAGCTATGGCACTCTCTATATCCCTCTCTCTCTGCCGCTCACTCTCTCGACGCCTGTCTCTATCTAAATCTCTAAATTATGAGCCTGACAGGATACGGGCCAGAGCAAGTGAGTAAAACATGTTGTTAACATAACGTAATGTAAGCGATTGCTTTGCTGCGCATTCATTATGCTTTTCACAGGGCGTATGATTAATCTCATTTCATTATGTTATCGTCTATGCCACATCTTTGGCTCGCCCACAGCTGTGCGGCTTTTGTTCGGCTGTCCAGCCATGAAAAATGATTTGCTTTTGTTTTGCTTAGTATTTACTACCTCGTTGCTGAAATCACAAGCTCTTTCACAATTACTTTGCACATAAACAAACAAGCAAACCAACAAACAAACAAACCAACAAACACACACAGTAATTTACGACCCATTTGTGCTAACCCATTGCCATTAAAACAACTTAATTAACAGTTGACATAATATGCTTTAGTTATTTTTTTGTTCTTTTATGTTTCTCAGATTTTTCTTTTATTTCTCGCTTACTCTTTCGCATTTTCACAAGTTTCACAAGTTATTGGATTTTAAATTCTTACATTTTTAAAAGATTTAGTTTTCCTTTTTTATCGTACTTTGCTTTGTTTTTTCTCTGGTTTTCTCGCATTTAATTGAAAGTTACTTTCAAAGTTGGTTTAGCTTTAATAACATCATTAATTCAATATTTTTTTTCCTTGGGTTTTCTGTAATAAATAGACTATACTGTATGTATACATATATATATAGCGGTTTTTTTTTTTTTAATGTAATAATATAATTATAAATACACATTTACATATACAATATTTACGTCAGATTTCTGCAGTTTCTTTTCTGTATCATTTTAATTAGCTTAAATCTTAAATACTTTATGAATTTGTCACTTTGTTTTTAGCTAGTTTTCTGTACTTAACGCTGCGGCTTACTCGTAGTGAAAAGTCTGTGAAAGTGTTTTAGTTCGAAGTTGTAGGAAGCTTGAAAGTAACGCAAAGTATTTCATAAATGTTATAAACAACAATAAAAACATTTAAATTACACGATAGACAAAAAAAAACACATACCAATATGAAATTTTAAATAATTATCATGCAAAAATACCAATATTAATTTTAATTTGTCAGTTTCACATATTAAACATCTTTTGCGCATAAAAAATTCATTATTAACTGAACTGCATATTGCAAAAAGAAATATGCTGGTCTATAAAAGTATTTAAAAAAAACCCACAAAAATAAACATATTTTGTATGCAATGCAAATGCTGGACACATTAATAGCTGAGTATTTGTATCTGATGACGTTTTGTTGTTGTACTTTGTTGTAGTTGTTGAAAAGCCAATGAAAAGTGTTTCTGAGCATGAGTTGCAGTTGGGGTTGAATAGTTTTTGCTGTTGATGCTGTGAAGCATACTTGATGAAACTTTTTCAGTTTTTCATTTATATATATATATTTTATTTATTTTTTTATTTTTTTGTTTTTGTGGTTTTTGTGGTTTTTGTATTTCCATCGATTGTATTTTAAACTTTTTCAATGCTTATTATTTTCATTATTTTTGTTTTATTGCGAATACTGTTATATAAACACTGAATAAATTGGTTTTTTTTACTTGTACTTTTGCACATTTGTGTATGCGTTTTTTGTTTTCTATATACTTATAATGATAAGGGTGAAGTGATTATCGAAAAATTAAACAATATTGTGAAATAAAATGGTCATTCCACTAAGCGAAAAAAGTTAGTTGAAGTATTTACGCAAATTGCAACTGCCTTTGAATTTATCGAACGTATTGTCATTATTTTCACAGAAAAAAAAAACTAATTTGTTGAGAAAAAATCTGGCCAAGGAAACCTTTGTTGTTGTTCGAATGAAACAATGAGAAATGTGAGATTATCGATTTTAAAACATCAGTAAATTGTCCTTTCAACCCGTAATATGTAAACAATTAAATATTTTAAATAGTGAATGCTGAATTATTTACATAGTACTTGGCACAAAAATAATTGAAGCTTCACAAATAATCAAAAATAGTCAATTATTAATGAATGAGAATCGGCTTTAAAATGTAACCTTGCAACTCGGTGTAGAATAAAAAAAAAAATATGAATTAGTATTTACAGAATACAAAATCGACTGACAATAAACATATATTCATATTTGGAATGAAACTGAAAGTAGAACGTTAAAAGGGCAGATTGAATATCTTAATTTGTTCAACAGATTGTCCACTATTAAGTTTTAAAAACTTAACTGAATCTCGTTTTGAATTTCTGCAAATTGTTGTATATGTATTGTTATAACTATTTTTTGGATTAATTTTGTTTATGTTTTTGTTTTTGTAATTGTCTAATTCATGTCTTATTGATTTTTATATATTTTTCATTTAATAACAACATATAAATTTTGAAATGTGCAACATGATCTCGTTCAAATTGTATTTACCCTTCAGTTCTTCAGCGCACCCTCCCAATCCCAATCGCACATTAATTAAGCTTAACTTTAATTTAGTTATGCAATTTGTACACACATTTAAGAAACATGTTCAAAATTATTACAACTTATGATAGGATTATTTAAATACTTCATCTTAATATTTGCTCTCTATGAATTAATGCCTATGATGTTCAGGAAAACTTTTATTTTAACCGATTTTGCCGGTTTTACATTTTCGGTTCTCGTCGCTGGCTTAAAGTTCTCGATCAACTTTTCGCCTAGGTTTATGTTTGAGTTTTGCTTTTTCCGGTGTGAAATCATTTTTACAGTGTTTTCATTATTTTTTTTTTACATAAGTATGTATGTGTATATACATATATACTTATGATGCTGTATATGCTTTAATCAGTACTTGAAATTTGCTGCGCAGTTGAAGTTTAACATTTAGAAAAATTTTCAGTTGTAATTTTTTGTTATATTTGCTTTTTTCTTGTTGTTTGCTTAATGTGTCTTGAGTTCCATTTCGTTAAACATTTATTTTTACGCCTATTTGAATTTACAAAACAAGTTGTTTGCCTTGGGAATAGTCACAGTATGGCATCTAGAATACGCTAAACACTTGTAGCATTTATTTTAACATTTAGCTTGCTTCCATTGTTTTCATATTTTTTTTTTCTCCTATTTAATTTTGTTTTGAAAATGTTGTAGTAGGCTTGAGCAGTGTTCGTTTCGGGAAAAGTCTCTACACAAAATGCAAGCGAAAGTTGCTTTTTGTTAATTCTCCTTTAATTTTGGATTGTTTTGAAAAAGTTGTGAAGTTCGCTTTTTTGGGAAATTCCTTGAAGGAGAAATCAAAGAAGAAGAGGAGCACTCAACAAGCGCGTGAGATTATGCGATGCTGCCTATTTACAGGATTCGAAACTTAAACGTAGTGCAACAGAACAGATCAAACGATATCATACAAAGTTGTACTTAAAAAAGGCGACAACTTGGCTCTGTTCTCTCGTATTTTTATCTTTTTTTATTGGGCTAATTATTACGTATACGTCACGGATTCATAGAAAAACACAATAGCCAATAGATTATACATATTAGTTACTATTAAATAGTTACAGCTTATGTATGTAGTCGTGTTTCTTCTGTGTGTGTGTGTGTATGTGTGTGTGTGTGTGTTTGTGAGTGTGAGTGTGAGAAAGTTACTCTAAGATCATTTATCATTTAAGTGTATTTATATTAGTCTAGATTCTAAGAGTGGGTTTCTTTTTTCTTTTTTCTTATTCTTTTTTTTTTCTTTTTGTTTGTGTTGTCTATTTTCGATTTATTTTTTGAGGGGATGCTCACCTTATGTCCGCCTCATATACTTGCCTAAACGTCACTGCTGCAGTTGTTGTTGTTGTTGTTGGGTTTGCTGTTGCAGCTGCTGTTGCTGATTGCTCAAGTTGTTGTTGCTGTTGTTGATGTGGGCCACGCCCTCGCCAATGCCATGCGACACTGAGCAGCGAGGACAGCAGACTTAAAATACATTCGAGGATGTATCTGCAACTGCTACTGCTGCTGCTGCTGCTGCTGCTGTTGCTGTTGCTGCTGCCCCCTCTGGTTGTGGCAAGTCGAAACTGCAGCGTCGACGTCGCTGCCGCGGCTGCACCGCTGAGGGCCGCATGGAGTGCCTGACAAATGCCAAACTGGAGAAGCACACAAACAGGTACACTAAGAGATAGCGATGCGGAGACATGGGAGGATGGGCTGGTGCCGCGTGCTGCATTGCTGCTGGGAACTCCCCTGGAAACGGAATGAGAAACACCTGTTTAATTTACATCTTTATTGCTGTTCTCATACTCAGATATTGGTTGAAACGAAAACAGTTAAAATATGTATATTTATGTATATATATATTGTGTCTGTGTGTGTGTGTGTGTGTGTATTCAGTGCGTGTCCTTGTGATATATTTCACTTGAAGTAGATGCTTGTTTGTGTTGAGTTCCATTTACTTAGAAGCTTGTTAATATATGTGTTAATAAGTCAATGCGGAGCTGATTATCATAGACATTGAGTCACAATTCGTATTTAATCCGACTAAAATACTAACTGTATTACCAGCTCGAACAAAAGTGCAACTACAAAGTGAAAGTTGTTCTGCAACCCACAAAAACCAACAAACATCAAATAACATAACAACTTCAAACGGAAAATACTCGAAAAATGTCATAAAATGGGTTGCAAAAGTCAAACAGGCACATGAGACACAAATGTATACTATATATGTGTGTATATATTCATGGTATACAAAGGAAAATGCACAGTTGTTGGGGGGAAGAAAAACATCGCATAAATACAGGAAAACACGGAACTTGTTACCAGAGACAAGTGGCATCCATGACGAAGCTGCAACGGCAACAACTGCAGCTGCGGCATCAAGTGAGTACAGTGGGGCAAACTGACAACTGGCTTGTGTATGACTTAAGTAGATATAACTTATTTATGCATCATAACAATTATATATAAATCCAAAAATGATGAATAGTTATTGATTAAATATATATTTAAATATTTACTATACATGTTTTAGTATATCCAAAATAGCTAAGTAAAAATCTATTTTAGAAAATGTGTATATAAAAAATGTTGGTTTTCTAACTACTCAGTACTTCTTTTAATATATACAACTGATTGGTTAACTGATTAAACAATTTTAAAACGTGGCTCAAAAGTATTCCACTGTGTGTGATGGAAAGTGGAAAGTGGTGGCGAGTCCATGAGCCCGACGCAGCTGATGTTGATGCGGCAAGCCAAACAAACAAATAAATACACAAACAAACGAATGAACAGACAAACACGTCCAGGAATTTATATTGTATTTGGGCGTCTCGGATTCTCTTTTTCCCCGGGCTTGCATGTCGCTCGAGCAATAAACAATAAAAGCCAAATAATGAAAAAAAAAGAAGAAAAAATCAGTAAAGAAAAAGAAATGAGAGAGAGAAGAACGAGAGGCAAACAGAAGCCGCCTGTCATTGAGAGTGAAACACGGCGAAAACAAAAGCCGAACTACTAGAAAATCAACACAATGTTGACTGCTGTTGGCATATAATAATAAAAATAACAACAAAACAAAATGTTGCGTCAACAACAATGCAAAGTAGCAACACAAAACGGACAAAACATAATAATAATCAGAAACAAGTGTGCCAAAGCAGTTAACGGAAACAACGCGCATTGCATGCACAATATGGTAACAAGGATGAGTACACCCTCATCGCAATGTGTGTGTGTGTGTGTGTGTGTGTGTGTGTGGTGCCAACGTTGTGACATTATCTAGCAGACACCGTTGCGACAATGACAACGACGACGACGACGACGACGACGACAACTTGACATTAGTGAAAGTCGCAAAGGAAGTGGCATGCAGCATAAAGTCAAGCTAGGCAAAATGGTAAAGTAGGATGGGGGTAGTGGCGGGGTAGATGGGGTATGTGGTTGAGGTGGGGCTGCTGTAGACCAAGCGTAACATAAACATAATTTTCATGGGCCACGCGCGCTCCTTTACCAAGTGCAAGCCACCATTCCGTGCCCAAACACGTGCGCGGAAAATGTCGCAGCATTTCCAACAGCGAAAACAAAAAAGAAAACTTCTGCAGGGGGTTCGTGTGGTAGTATGGAGGGGGTTGGAGGGGGTTTAGAGTGCTGTAAGTTGCTTTGTTTGTTATAATGATTACTGCTGTGCACACCATTTTTGAGGTAAGTGCGGGGGAAAACTGTATTTTTAATTTTCATGCAACGCTTTTTGCAGTTAGCACAAAGTATATTGAATATATATAGCAGATATTATAAGTTTGTCGCCCCCCCTCCCCTCTTCTGCAGCCATCTATAGCAGCGCCCAATTAGCATATTTCCACACCATTTGCTGTCTTGGCAACACACCCCACAGTTAACAGCTACTTTCTAATCGATATTTGCGCTGGGTTTTTCACACTTTTTCTATTTATTGATTCATACTATTTTCTTAAACACTTTGCCAACATGAACTTCACTCGCTGGCTATTTTCAGCAGTCGCTTCAAATGCGTGTCTTTAGTCGAGTTACTTCCACCTCAAGTGGCACGCTTTAGTGCTTCCACTCAGCACCTTTTTGGCCTGGTTTATTTGGTGTCAGTGCTTGTGTTACCTGTAGCTGCATTTCTATGGCTGCCCAAATACGACTTGAGCTCTCAGATCGGTCGGAAGCCATTAACGGTTTTCAATTCTTTTGGAATTAAGCTACACATTGTATGTGTCCAGCTTTGTATTTATCATTCATTTCTCGCTGGACGGCAGACTACACTTTGAGTGAGCATTTAAAAATCATCATTTATTATAGAAGAACATAAACGTGTTTAAACTGAGCACAAGTTGTGCGCCCAACTCAATTCTTACGGCACACTTCTTAACAACTATTCCGAGTTGGCTCAAAGGGATTCCTTGGCAAAGCATTTTCAGTTCAGTGCATTTCTCATACAATTATTAACTGAAGTTCTGACTAATCTTTTGCAGTACTCTTCAACCGACTGAGCATCTCTTTAAATTCCCGCCAAGCAACTCTTGATTCCATTCATCATTCCACGCAATTCTGGCATTCAGTTGCCAGCCACAAAGCATTCATAAACCCGCATTAGCCACAATGCTCTGCCTCTGTTGGCCCAACCCTTTTGTCTTCTTCATTAGCATGCTTTACTTCAACACTTTTCATGCATTCTTCAACCACTTCTTCCACTTTTTCTTCTTCTGCATCTTCTCATTCATCTACCCACAATGTAGTCAGTCAGACAGTCTCTGGCCATTTATGTATATATTTCTGTCCATCACGGCAAACTTTCGCCTTGGTCCATTGTACTCTGCGTTTACTTTTTGAGCATTCAAAATTATTATCAGGGTATTTAAACTTTATCACAACTTTTGCGTAGCAAATGCATAGGTTATCTTTAATCTTTAATCTTTAATCTGCATGCAAACTCGAACCTTTTTTTCGGTTGAAGAACTTAATAAACTACTTTGCTATTAACATATTTTGTTTTACAAACTAAAATGATTATATAATTAATTTTATACATCGATATTATTGCACTTACAAAAAAAAAATATTCAAAATTTGTTAAGGAACAATTTCAATTTTGAGAAAAGCGCTCTGAATTTTAGAAAATCGCCCCGAAAGCTAGAAATATTTTCTTATTTTTAGAAATAACTAATTAAAAATAATGAAAATTTCGAATAATTTGAATGAAGTATATATTTTAATAATAGAAAATATTTCTAAGCTCAAATTTTCAGCGAAAAATCATTTCTAAAATGTTATAATTAATAATAAAATTTACTTTCTCGACTCATAGCTTAGATATAGTTTAGATAGTTTAACTAATCGCTGACTAGATCGGTGGGAAGTCACCCATCTCGCTTCAGTTGAAATTTTAAAATACTAATGACTAATAATAATACAAGCTCCAAATAAATAAATATAAGAATTCTGTGTGTGTATATAAAAAAACGCCATGGCAATTCTGCTATTATTTTCTAATAAAAATTTAGAAACATCCAGGTTACTAGAAAAACACAACCCACCGTTTAAGAAATATACTTTCTGAATAAGAAGATAAGTGGCAATTTTCTAAAATTGAGCAGATTTTCGTATAGTTTTTGAAGGTATAAAAGCACTTAATATTAAACACTTTCTCTGCTAAGGGTATTCGCAACTTCGGTGTGGCAATAAATGCTTTAACAGTTTTTTTTTTTTTGGTATTTATGTGGAAGTGTTGGTTGTGTGTGTGTGTGTGTGTGTGTTGGTTGTGTTGTCGTTGATTTTACTTACCATTCAGCACATGTACCGTTACGCTTTTGGGCTTTGCATTTGATGGATTACATTGATAGTGCCCGGAGTCCGATGGACGCGCTGATTTAATCAGCAGGAACGATGTCGTCGTGTCACCTTTGTTGGTAACAACCGAGACGCCGCCCCGTGGCGAATCATAGTTGATTATCTGCAAAGAGACAGAGACAGAGGCAGAGCGAGCGCGAGCCCCGACAATTGCAGAGTAAGCCAAAGTACTTGACCATTTATGTACACACATAAAAAAAAAGAGGAGCAACGAGACAGACTGAGAGAGACTGAGAGAGAGAGAGAGAGAGAGACTGAGAGGAGCGCGAGTAATAAACATGGCCAATTTGTATGCGAATAACATTTACAATGCCGCATGGACGTAGTCGCATCAAATTAGTTTTTATGCGACATTCATTTTCTAAGCCATAAAATTGTTTTGTGCGCAGATTACGCATACGCACTGTTGCACGCCACTGGAAAATTAAAAACTTTTGAGCGTGCTACAACAGCCAAATTTATATATGCATGGACAAAAAAAAGAAAAAGCGAGAAAGAAAGAAAGATAGGCGAACAAAAGCAAAACAATAAAATTAAATCTGTTCATGGCAAAACTGGCACTAATGGCAACTTGCGACCACACCCACTCTCACGCCCACTGTCCCTCCTCCGTTCCCACTCCCACTCAACCCTTCTTAAAAGCATTCTATGCTCTATAGAAAATACATAATAATAGAAGGGCTGTGAGCAACAGCAACCCTTACATATTCCCAATACAATAAGCTAAAACATGGCCGTGACTAAAGTCCCAAAGCATGAACTGAAGTAAAACACCTAAAATGGAAAACTAAAACGTGGCTTTAACAGCCGCAGGGATGCCACTGACAACACCAACAACAACAACAACAACAACAACAGCTGGATGAGCACTGGAGGAGCTGCGGGAGCAACGGAAGCGGCACTGGAAGCCAAACCAAAATCCATTTAAAACCCTTGCCTCAACGGGTTTTTTTTTCTTTCCTTTTGGGCTCCCTCCCCTGGCATAGTGCTTAAATGGCATTTTCTTGCAGTCAACAAAATAGAAACACAAAATAAAAGAGGGGTGCCGAAAAAAAAGAAAAACCGAAAGAGTTGCACAGTTTTTGCCATTGCAAAGCTAATTTAAAAGTTACTAAATTGAAGCAGCGCTTCAGATCCCTCATCATTTATAGCCAGCGCCATAATGATACCCCAAAGTAATTGCCTGTCGAAATTGACAAAAGCCCAAAAAAAACAACAATAAAAAAATCCAAAAAAAAAATGGAAAATTACGTTTAAAAAAAAGCACCTTACACTTACAGCGTTGTTGTGATTCCAAAAGATATAGGCCGGCGGCTCCGGTGAATTGAGTATGACACAGGTGAGATTTATAGTCGAACCGCTTTCTATATACAAATCTGGTGCGCCGATAATTTCCGTTGAGGGCTCTGCAAGATAAAAATAAAACAACGAACAAACAAACAAACAAGTTGCATCATTGTAATTACTTGAATATCTTTTAGCTTAGTCCAACAAAACGATTATAGCCTATTTTTGTAGACAACCCTCAAACTGCTCATTTGAGCTTGTGCTGTAAATATTTTTAGGCCTCTTTCAATTAAATTACCTACCCCGTCTAGGGCACTTCGGTACGTAGATTTAGCTCAAATGAAATGGCAATTAGGTAAATACAAATTTTTGGAGCTGGCTCGAGCCGCCTCATTAGAAATACAAGTGTAATTTAAATGCGCAACATTTTCAAAAGATTTTCATTGAAATTTCCATGAAATGGAAGTGCTCGTTTTCCCCAATTCCTCCCCTCCCCCTATCACCATCTTTTGCGCACCTCTCCAGCGCTTGCCATAGCAACAAGTGCAAAAAGTTTACTCAAACATTAATTTTATGTAAACTTTATCAGCGTCATTGAAATATTAGGTCAGAAAATTGTTTTTCTTAATTTATATCGAAACTTTAACAGCAACAAAGCTTAACTGGATACCTAATTTGGCACAGGTCGATTATCAGACAAACTCTAAACAGACACCATTTAATTTCAAACTATTTCAAACCTGCTCAGGTCAATTGAATTATCTTTAACAATAACTTAAGATTGGCCCCATCAATTATTAAACTTGACCTATCGATAAACGCACTTTAGGAATTCGGAATGTCATCCACAACATATTTCAAATTTATTACAAACTTATTATGTGATCTGTTTGATTAGCAGATGTTTTTAATTGAATTACCACGCTTTGCCACACATCAAATGTTATTGATAATTTGCCATCTAAATAATCAATTTGTTAATCAAATTAGTCTTTTGATATTTGTATTTGAAATATTCACGTGCCCAATTAACATGTCCGCATTTTTGTAAATATATTCATATATATATATTCCTTTTAAGTTGGTAATTAATTTATTTATTGTTTATATTTGAAAGTTTTATTCTACATTAAACTAATTAAATTAAATTCTCAGCACATTTTCAAATTAAATTGTTCTCACACTTATTTTTTATGCAATGAACCCGTTCAAAATGTGAGAAGGGATAAGGAAGCTTAAGGTCTTAAACAAGGAAGCCCCGTTAAGGATATTTTTTTGAACCATGTTCAGCTGTTCGTCTCTATCAACGAGCCCATTTGAAGGACTATAAGAACTGCAAATTTGAAATATAATGCTCTCTCGAATACCACAATCTGATCAAGTTTGTTTAATTTTATCGATAACTGCACCCGTTTTTAAAAATATTGAAAGACCCAAGCATAAAGAAATCGCCTCGCAATTCACTTTTATTATATACAGACATATTTATGATCACTAAAAAATTTCACAAAGAACATAAAGCTTTCTATGTATTTAAAAGTCAAGTTTTTGGGTATCTCCTAGTCGAGCTCTCTCGATACTAACTTGTAGTTTTGGTAAAGCATTTATTGGTACAATGTGAATTGGTAACCAAGACGACTCTGACTTCTTCTGGAGTGCCACAAAAGTGCCCTTCTAACTTGGGCGTAGTGTAGCGTAATACTTACCAACAACAGTCAAGTGAATGTAGTGACTCATGTGGGGTGTTGTCGACACTTGGCACTCATAGATGCCGGAATCGCGGTGTTGCGGATATTTGATTTGTAGCATCCAGTCTTCCGTTTGCGGTTGATGTATGGCCCGAAAGCGCTGATCGGAGGTGTACGTATAACGACCGACTGTGAGCAAATGGATGTCCCGATGTCGCACCCACGAAACCTGCAGCAACATCTGGATAAAAATATAAAAAAAAAGGAAAAAAATCGAATCAAAAGTTGAGTCATACGAAGAGATTTCATTTGTCAAGACAAAATTTGCGTGTTAAGTTTAATTTATTGCGCAAACAGTTTAAAAAGTCTATTTCACACGCAATCTTTAGAGGGCCTTCTTTTATAACAAGGGGGTTGCTTTCTCTTCTCCCCCCTTTTTTTTTTTGTTTGTTTTCGTTTTTTTTTTGTTGTCTTTGGAAAATGCAAATTTATTGTGAAATGCTTGATATGTTATTCTTTTATGCTAAAGAAAATCAAAAACTTTGAAGCACACATGTGACGCCCTCGCTGAAGAAGGGTCGAGCACAAAACACAGCCTACCCTTATCAATTTGACTGCCGGCAACTTTGCTGTTGCCTCGAGGCAAAATTGATGGCAACAGGATGGTGGTGGTGGTGGTGGTGGTGGTGGGCCACGCCCATGCTAATGCACACCTGTTTGGCAACCACCTGCTGTTAACGTGTCTAAGCTCAACATTTTTTAAGTGACTGTGATTTAGGGGTGCGGACAAGCGACACCCACCCCCATCCCATACCCATCCCATACCCATCCCAACAGTGTCGCGTGTCATACGTCAGCTGTGTGCATTTTCATTTTCATTTTCGTTTTCGTTTTCAATTTCAATGACACCAGCTTAGCAACATGCTGCCGCTGCTGCCTGACAACAAAGAGTGACGGCAAAGTTAATGGACAAGAAACTCAGAAGTTGCACGGAAATTCAATGGCTCCATGGTTGCGCCTCGCAGACTCTGACAATGTTCTTCGCCAGGTGCTGCAAACAGACGCAATGTTAGGCTAAAGTTTTGCCTGAATAAAGTTTAATGTAATTAACACCAAATGCTCGAGCAGTTCTAGAACACACGCAAAATTCATGTTGAATTCAGCACTGCTTGCCACCAATCTTTGCGTGGCTGCCACCAATCACCAACATTTACTTTCAGTTTTTCCCATCACCCACTCCACTCCACTCGACTCGAGTCGACTCGACGCGACTCGACTCCTTTCAGCCAAAACCAGCAAAATCACTCGACGACCTCTCGCTGTTCGCCAAGTTTATGCGTATTATGCGTGTTTACAGTATCGTAAAATTTGTGTATCGATTGCATATATATATAGAAATATTTTTTGGCTGCTGGGCGAAGAACATCAGCGAGAAATCTTTGACGTTTTTATGGCTCAATTTGCAGTGCGCTGAAAAGTATGCTTTAAAATTTGTTTAGACGCTTGTTATTTTATACCCAGTGGTGGTTCGCTGTGGTGTATTTAAAGCAGCATAATATGCCTTTCATCAGCAATAGACATCGTTAAAAATATCTCCAATTTCATTTGATATGAAGCCAATTTGACATGAACCAAATTTCAACAAAGAACCGATTTGGCAGGCCTTATTAAGTGATTTGTTTTGATGTTAACAAAGCTACAACATCAAAGTAATGTCCTCAGTCATTGATATATTCGAAAACCATTTATAATATGCGATTATTTTTACAGGGCATCTCACAGTCGCACTGCTGAATATCATCGAAAATGATTACACGCTTAAACTTTAGCTGTGCACTTTATTTTGGCTTTGAATTATTCAGAAGCGCTTTGTTTTGCGTCGGGGGGCTAAGAAAAGAAGCCCCGCCCCTTAAAACTCATTACCGCTCGCATGCTGTTATCAGGAGAGGTAGAAACAGGAGCAGGAGCAGTAGCAGTAGCAGTAGCAGTAGCCGCACCCGTAAAATGTCGACTCCGACTGCGAGTCTAATGAAAAACGCCATTAATAATGTAGAAAACATAAACATCCGTTCGCTGTTTATCATTACTCGACGGCGCACATAAAACAGAAGGCGGCTAACACCTCCGATTTTTTATCTGTCGGCTGGCTTAAGTTGTCCCGAGTCGCTTGCCAAATCTTGGCTGCAATGATGTATTACTTCATTAGGCTGCTTTGCCGGTGGGGGGAGGCCGGAAATGGAGTTGAAAAGTTCACGATTTTGGGGTTGGGACTTGGGTTGGGGGTCTGGTTGCTGCTGTGGCTTGCCACAAGGTGAAAGCTAATTAGACTCTCGGCTGACAATCCGAACAAATGATTTTTGCCTTAATGGTTTCAAGAAACTTTGGAAAACGGTGTGGAAAATTATGAGAAATTGGTAAATTATCGACAAAACTGTGTGACTTTGAGATAATTAAAATAGAATGAAATCATTTCAATATATTATTATTATTATTTTATTAAAATTTAAACTAATAACAATCGAACATAATGTTTTCGATTTAAAATGTTCTATTCTGATCTCTTCCCTACCCATGCGTAATTATGATTTTCCCTGAATCACAAAAACATAATCAGATAAGTAAATAAATTAAAATTAAATTGATGTCATTGTGTGCCTGGATAAACATAAATCTCTTATGCACCTCATTAAATTGTACAATAAACATGTATTCAAATGTAGAAAAAAGAATAATGCCAAGTTTAGCCTGCTTATAGATAATATTACAAATTTATGGCCGTTGAAAAAATGTTGAACTGGTGAAAGGAATAAAATATTATTTGACCCAATTTTATGAAGCTAGGTGCGAATCTATAAATAATCAGGTGAAAAGTATCCAAAGAGCGTTAATTAACTCGTCGCTTGTCTGTTGATGATCGATTAAGTTATCCAACTAATACGCATCTAATGAAGTTGCCAACCATTCGCTTGGGTGGCCAGACCAGGCTGACCCAAAAACCTGAACCGACCTTTACCTAACCCACATCTGCATGTGTTGAAAGCTATCTAAGACAGCAACCGAAAACTTTTCACCACCCATTGCCCCCCCCAAACACTCACAAGCATACAAAGACTTGCAAAGGCCGCTCGAATTTAATAATCACGCAAATTAGTTTTCGAAACCGCAACTCAAACAACAGAGTCAGACGAGTCTATGCCATCTACGGACTTGCCATCTAACCATCTAACCACCTAATCACAGACAGATGGGAGTGTGGGTGCCGGGTGCAGGGTGCGGGGTGCGGGGTAAAGTAATGTGAGGCAGACATGTAACATATTATTATCGGAAAATAAGCACGGGCCGCACAGGAAGTAACGGAAACCAAATGACTACGGCGCAGGTTGCAAAACTAAAACCCAAAAAAAAAAAGAAGAAAAAACCCAAACTGAACAAAATAACAAAATGAAAGCTTTTGCATATTTGTATTATTTTTTCGTTGGCTTGGCTTGGCTTGGTTTGTTTTGCTCTTGTGTGGGAAGCGTCGTCCCAGCAGTCGATTTGAATAGTTTGCCAGGTTTGGCAGCCTAGGCCCGAAGTGTAGGCTCAGAAAGAGAGAGAGAGAGAGAGAGAGCTAGTGTGTGTGTGTTGTGAAATGTTTGCGGCATTTCCTTCCGCACAGCACGACGACGAAGTCGAAGCGCTAAAAGTTGAATAAAGTAAAATCGGTTTCCTGTTTCGCTATAATTAATCATTTTGTTTTGGCAGCGGAACAATTAGCCGAAGCCACCATGTGGGCGCAGTTTACGTGCTAATTAGCTAAAAAACATGAAACTGTAACACACACACACACAGCTATACACACACACACACACACACACATTACAAATCACATTTTGATGGCACATAATGACATAACAATTGCACAAACTGTTGCCTTGGTTGGGTTATAGGGGTAAAGCTTGACAAGTTAAATTATTGTTTTTTGTTTTTTTTTGTTTTTTTTTGCGAACTTACCGTTTTGTTGCCCAGATTCTTGACCCGACAATTCAAATAGGCCGTTTTGCCGAGCAGCGCGGTGACATTTTTCGAAGCGTTCCTATCGAAATAGGGTCCACTATTGCGTGAGTCGTCAATCAGATCGATGCTGTTGCGATTAATGCCGGATGCGGCTGCAAGTGAGGCTATTGAGTTGCCTTTGTGCAGACTGCCGCTGGCAATGCCACTTATTGTGGTTGTTGTTGTTGTTGCTGGTACCCCCGAACCGGAGCCAGAGTTCGGAATAGAGCTAGTGCTAGAGCTGGAGCTGGAGCTGATGTCAGTTGTCATTGAGCCGGTGGCTGTTACATGGCTAGTTGTGTAGTTTCCGTTGATGTTAGTATTGCTGCTCATACTTCCGGTTCCGGGAACACCATTCACAGCAGCAGCTGCAGCCGCATCGCCCTCATTTGGTATGGCATTATTACTGCTGCTCACATCCTTTGATTTATACGAGTCCCGCTGAGCGGCAAGCACTGCAATGAATACATAAAACACAAAACATAAATTTTGAGTGTTTGCCAAATATTCGCATTACGGTATGCAATTAAATTGCCCCGGAAAGTATGCCACACATTTTAAATGCCAAGCAATTGTCTCCAACCTTTTTTATGGCTCTCGCACACATACACACAGACACACACACACACACACAGCCGTTTATTGCGTGTGTGTTTGAGGATATCATTATTGTAATTGCATCCGTTTCGTATTTGGAATTGTTCTGGGTTTCATTTCCGTATTGATTTCACCACTCGTAATGCAGAAATCATTTCAGTTGCCATGCAATATTCTAGTATATAGAGCGGAAATGGAATTCTGGTACCAAATAATATCTTATATATATATTTAACTTTCAAACTCCACAGCTGAAGTCGAATCCCGACGGGAGTCACAATATATCAGAGTAAACAAAAAAACCCAGCGAAAAACTAATTTGGACTGAAAATAATATGAACAACAATAACGCGAAAAATTTGACTTTTGACAATTGGAAGATTGCCTAAAATTCCGTTCAAGAAGCTTGGAGAGTTTTGCCACTTTCTAGAAATATGTGCACAACATTAAAGTGAAACTGGTTTTATGCGCAAGTGAAAAAATTGGATAATCCCCAAGTCGAAAAGTCATTAAGATCTAACTTGGCTAAAGCAAGCTGGCAAATGGCCAAATCACAATAAACTGCATTTCATAGCCCGCAAAATTGTCAAAGATGCTAACAATGTATATATATATATGTATATATATTTCGGTTAAGTGGATAACTTGAAGTGATTGCTTTATAATGGCTAGAAAATGCAATATGCAAATGACTTTACACACACCAACAAGATCAAGTTACGAACTTAAATTGATGCCATCATATGCAATATCGTTACCATAATTGTTCAATTAGTTCACATTTTGGCCATAACAGACCCGGACTGGCTTTCAACTTTTTAGCCCCGACCAAAAGAGCACATGTTAAACTTTTGTGTATTTAAACCCGAGCCCCAGCACATTGTTTGCTTTCCATCGATAACGCACACAAACGCAGAACTAGTTTTGGCTCGAATACCTTTCAGCCATTTAGGTAATTAGCAAATTACGCATACACACACACACACACACACACACACACACACAGAAAAACTCGTTGGGTATTCGCGTATCGTATGTGGGGCATAAACTTTTGTTTTGCGCTTTTTGTGTTTTATTATTTTTTGTGTGTGGTTTTTTTTGTTTTTTTTTTGCTGTTTGCTTTACGTTTATCAAATTTTCATGTTTTTGCCACAACTATAGCACAGTAAAAGGCACTTGGATCCTTGCTGTTGTTGTCGTAGTTACGACCAATTTTTATCCACCGCCATTTATCCCATCACTTAGCAGCCAACAGCCAGCAGCCAGCAGCAAGGACGATGCGGATGACGCCGATTCGTCTGCTTGAGATACAAACACAAATACACACTCATATGTGTCCGTGAGTGTTTATTTTTATATCTTAAGTGTGTGTGTGTGTGTGTGTGTTGAGCACTTGATACGCTTATTACGCCCAGGCAGAGAGAGAGAGAGAGAGAGTTTTTATAGCGCAAGGGCGAGCTGTGAGCTGGCGACCATTTTATAGTTGGCAGCCAGCGACTTTATTAGATTAAACATGTTGTGCACGTTGGCTCAAGATTGTCAGTCACACACACACACACACACGCACACACATTTATACCCTTACACACACAGACAGAAAAATAAAATATTTCTCACACAAAACTAAAAAAAAAAAAAAAACAATTTCAACTTAGTTTTTGTAAAGATGCTATTTCTATAGTCGAGTATTTTAAGCTCATTTCAACTTTGAATTTAGTATTTGTCAACTTAAAAATGTAGTACGAAACATACTTCAAGTGAGGATTAAACTATCTCAGAAAAAACACACAAATGAATAATGATTTCTAGATGATTTTCAGCTTAAGCCAAGACAAGGCGAAAATAGTTTGTGCTAAAAAGCTTAGATACAAATTTGTTATCTATTTCATATATAAATTTGAACAATACAAATAAATAAGTCTGGTGACTTTTGTATAATATTTATATTGACAAATATCGTAAATATGATAAAAGAACTTATAAAATACAAAAATAAATATTGAGTTAATATAAAAGACTTCCAGTTTTAAATTACAAGTTAGTTTTTGATTAAAAAAAAATGTAGTAAATCGAACTTTTTCTTAATTTATAACATTTATGTTGGGAACATTCATAATGTAACTCATTCGTACCAATTTTAATTACTTAATTACTTGCTTACGATAGGTCTGCTTGTGCAGTGGACACTTTATGTAAATCCTTTTTTAATTAAATACATTTTCAATTCTCGCTTCATTTATTTTCTTAATAAAGCCACCATTTTTCTCTCACTGTACTCATCGCACACACAGACAATTTATCTAGCATGCTTGCTTGTTGTTAGCCATTGCCCCATCGCCCCCTGGCCATGTTTTGGCCAGCCACATCGCATGTCCTGGCAGTAGTCAGTATTGACAGCCAGAACAGCATTTTGCGTATGCGTTGGCTATCCATGTGCGCTGTTCAATTGCCAAGGCAAACACAATGTGGCTACTAAGTTGGCTGCAACGCTAAAATGCCAACTGTCCGTGCGTTTCTGTGTGTATATATATATTTATATATATATAAATATGTGTGTATAGATATATGCGCAGGCTGTCTCTGTCGGAGCAAAACAACATGATGATAAATAAAGAGCCGCAGGATAGAAATTAAAATAAATTGACTGCTTGGGATGCGGTAGCCGCAACGGTAATGCGGCCAATGCCAACAGCAGACAACAATAACAAGAACAACAACAACAACAAGATGAAAAACAACAGCAGCAACCACATAAATTAAGAGCTTCAATATAACGGTACTTGCTTAAAAAGCGCCCTGCAGAAATCAAAAGTCATATGCCGGGTCGTTTCGACTTCTCGACGTTAGCGTCAACGTCAACGTCAGCGTCAGCGACAACGTCAACGTCAGCGTCAGCGTTAAACAAGAGCCGACCGCAGGCCATATTCCTGTTGCCGCTTCTTCTTTCTTAGCTGCTCCTTGCTGTTTTTGTTCTTGCTCTTCTTCTTCTTCTTTTTGCTGTTGTTTAGATTGTTGTAGTTATGTACGTATGTTATTAACATGACTTTGTTCTTGTTGCTGTTGTTGTAGTCAGAAACATTTGAAATGTCAAAACTTTTTGGTCTCTGTATGTGCTATATGCTCTGTGTGCGCGTGTGGGTTTATTTGTGCCAGTGTGTTTGTGTCTTGGCTAAAATTACGTCTCGAAAACTTTTAAATTTTTAAATTCACTTAAAAATTAGAAATACTTGTTGTTTGTTCCCCTCCCCCACCGCCCCACAAAAAACAGAAAACAAGTGAAAAAAAATCAAGGAAATTCTTTAAATATTTAAAGGTATATTGCGCTTGTGCTGATGCGGATCTTTTATTGCTGTTGTCTTTTTGTTTGGCACATGAAATTGTGCAAAGTATGCGCTAAATTAAATGAGGGAAGTCGTATGCTGTCGTGTTATTTGAATATTTGTTCTTTCAACTTTCGTTTTTGATTGGGGTCCCCGACTTTTGCCAGTTGACAAATCTGCAGACAATTTCCTTGTGGCATTTTCTGTGCGGCATCAAAAACTTTTTCGACCAGTCTCCATTTCGCGATTGAATATGCAGAAAAATGTAGAAATATTTCACCCAAGCTAAGGCTAAAGTGGAAAAGTATTTGACATAAATAAAGTCACTTTTACTGTTACTCAGCAACACTTAACAAATGGCAATTAAAATAATCGAATTTCAGCAGATGCTCCGAAACAGCATCAAATCAAATATTTTGCTTTTTTTTTTTAACTACACAGTTCATTAAAGACTAATGATGATATCTGCTTTGCTCAGGTGGCCAAAGGCCCAAATGGCAGCCTTGTCATTAAGCAAGCACACGGCATATGAAAAATGAAAGCCATACTACACGCTTACACACACACACACACACACACACACACACACACAGAGAGAGAGAGAGAGAGAGAGAGAGAGAGGGGGACATAGTCGAGTGCAGTTAGTCATGCAGGACTGGCTAAAATCCTCACTCAATCAGGGCATGAGAATCGCTGGGGAATTTGATATACGCCCAGCAACAACTACTGGGGCCGGGCCAGGTTTTGGCCTGGCTTGGCCTGGCCTGGGCTGGCTGAAACATTGATTTCCCAAGACTTTACAGGCACACAAAATTAATTACCTAACCTAAAAACTCAGGACGAACTCTGACGGCAGTAGTAGGCATTATGTGAGAACGAACGAAATGTTGAAAAATGCCAAGTTGGCAGTGCCCGATTTCATTCATGCTGACTCATTGGGCATGACAACGAAGTGAATGATATCGAAAATCGTAATCAATAAGTGAAATTGGTCAAATCAATTTTGGCAACAATTGCAATTTGCTAGCGAAAGGCTCGAAGCGAAACTGGAGCACGAAATTTGATTAAAAGCTGGCCCTGTCAAAACTGATGAGGATGCCACTGAAAAAGACAACGAGAATGTGAATGAAAATGAAAATGAAAATATGGATGAGAATGAGAAGGAAAATGAAAATGAGAATAAGCACAGCACACTTGGAAAAAATACTTACTAGAAATACACCTTATCAGCTTTGTCAGTTTTCATTTCGATTTTTAATATTTTTCTAAAGTTCCAAGAGAATGTTTCCAACCATTTCCAATGATATTTTAAGATTTACAATAATTTCAAAAAAGCTTTTAAGATTCCAATGTTTCTGATGTCTTCATAAAAATATAAAAATCGAATAGCTAAACAAATCAAGTTTTTATAAGAAGAAATAGATGCCAGTTTTGACGCTTAAGTTTTAATTTTCGAATTTTGTGATCGTTAAGTAAGAAACCAACTTATAAATGATAGTTTGAGCCTAAAAATCCACAGGTTTACCAAGGCTATTAATTCTAAATAATAATGAAATATTTTCAATTTAGTTCGGAGAAACAAAGTTATAAAAATGATTTCCCATTAAATATGCAATATTGTGCAGAAGTTTGTGAAAAGCTGAAATAAATATGTCCGACCATATAGAGTATATATATTCTGGATCAGCATTGACAGCCATGTTCTGAGAGATAACTGCTCTCGATAACTGTCAAGAATAAGCAATCAATATATAATAAACAAAATATTGATCAGCTGTGAGCACTTCATTAAGATCGGATAAGAAATGTGCTTTCATATTGAATATTGCACAGACTAATATTCAAGATATTTCACAGCTTACAGTCGAGCTCTCTCGACTAGAGCATTCCAAATTTTAAGAAACTTTTGAGACGACATTGCCTATTTTCTTTTAGTTGTGGGTCATGTTTAATTTGGCTTACCTCCATTGCCGGATATCACAGCGATGACAACGACTAACATGCTGAGCATAATCAGTGCACGCTGGCAGCTGCTGCAGTCAACGATTGTGCTGATGGTGGTGGTGCTGCTGGTGGTGGTGGTGGTGGTGGTGCTGCTGCTGCTGCGCCTACTGCTGCTGTGTGCTGTGGAGGCGCACGTTGGCCATAGTCGTGTGCAATTCGTGGCTGCTATTTGGTCCACCACCGCCTCCTTTTCCTCCTCCAGCTGCGGCTGCGAGTCTGTACCCGAGTACGTAAAACGTTGCCGTTGACGCGGCTTTGCTCGTTGTTTTAAATTCGTTCGCTGGCGCGTTTCCATTTGAAAAGTTGCCATAATATTTCACTCAGTCAGTCAGTCAGCCAGTCAGTCAGTCAGTCAGTGAGTGAGTCAAGCGCCCGCCCTTGGCTTGTCTGCGCACTTGAACCTAGTTGAGGATGGGCACATTTGTTGGGCAATATAAGTTAGGGGCGTGGCTGGCCGCCTTATTAGCGCCTGCCATCTTGCCGCGATGCGTGAAATTGCCGAGCCGTCTTACAAATTGCTCGGCTTGGTTGGGACCTGCTCGCTGCTTGGACAGCCAGCTACAACCAGTTTCAATTCTTTACTTGGCCTACGCTGTTCGTGCCTAGTCCTAGTCCTTGTTGGCCTGCCTGGTCCCTGCCTGCTGGCAAACTACTTTGCATTTGTTCTGCTCGGCTGGTGCTGAGAAATCGCAGTCATTTTTCCAGCGATTTATATTCTATTTAATTCCACTTTAACACGATATCACTGGGTATCACTTCATCTTCATTAGCGGCCGGCACTGAGTACTGATTGTGAGTGTCCTTCGTTCTCAGCTCAGCTGCTCGGTTGCTCTTCTTCTCCTCCTTGTCCGTCCCGCCAGTCGACAGTCGACAGCAGCTGCAGCGATAGAAAGCATAATAAAAAGACAGTTTTGTGAGATGTGAGCGTTCAAAATGTTTGGAATTTCATTAAAAATTCAAATGTCAAAGTCTAAATAAATGTAAATTTGTGTGGGTGCGTGAGTCTGCCGGCACGTGCTGTTGCCATGTGGGTGTGTATACATTAAATACACATATATATATATATACATAAATATGTGGATATTTTATATTATAGCTGCCACGCGCTCGCCTCCTCTGTTTGTTTGCCTTATGAATGTCTTTCTGTAACTGACGAATATATATTCATATATATAAGTATATACAAGAAATGCCAAATGTTTCCATCTGAGCGAAATGTTGCCCCAAAAATTATAATCACAGCTGATGAACAGCAAGGAGGAATTCTGTTTTAGATACGCAAAAATGTGTTGTAATGGAAATCTATGGGATTTTCTTTTAAGTGCCTGTTTCACAATATATAATTATATTTACAGCTTGTGTGGAATGCCCAATTTTGAAAGCGTTCTCAGCTATATAATAAGTATATCAGTCATATCAAATATTTATACGACAGATTTTTGTATTTGTGCTTGAAACAGTTATTCGCCAGTTTTTTGAAACTTTTTGTTAATTGAGTGCTTTTGCATAAAATAAAGTTTTTCATAATTATTAAATTATTTTAGTTTTTAATAACAACAAGTGAAATACATAAAACTTTTTAAGCTGTATATTTAACTGTTAGTTGGAACATCAAAATGAACATCAACGTAAACCAAATAATTAAAACTTTTTCATTCTGAAGCACTTTGAAAGTTTTTCGTTGATGTTCAGATTATTCGACAAAAATGTACACTAGCTAAAGATAATCATTAATATTGTTATATATAATCTAATATTTTGAGTACACTACAAAAGTAATCCAACAATTTGTTGCTGCTTTACGATGAGCCAAAAAAAATGCTGTCGAGCTTAAAAAAATAAATAAGTTGATATTTAATCGGATTAGCGTCATATTTTTATGTTTTTATGAGTGATGAAAACCAAGCTTGCAATAGATCTATAATAAAAAAATGCTTAAAAAACACTGGATTAAAATTCAGCCAGTAGAGTTTGCCAAATTGTGCGAACTTCGAAAGTTTCCGCTATAAATACATCCTGTACCAAAAACATACAAAAATAAAGTAGAAACAGAGGAATCATATTTTTGACAGTCGATAAAAACATCAATCAGTAAAAACACCAATCAATCAATCTTAATTATATGTTCAAAACAACAAATTATTTTCTTTATTAAATTTGCCAACAAAAAAGCAACAGGTTTCCAATTAATTAACTTAAAAACTTGTCTACAAATTCCAAAACATTCTGTATAATAATTAATAATCCAATAAACCTTTGACACTAACTGTAAAATATTATATTAATATAACATAAATAAATAAATATAAATATAAAATAGCGAATACTTCTGGTCAAATGAGACTTTTTAAGCAGTGGCAAAAATATTGTTAATCCAATAAACATCCGAGCAGCAACTGAAATAAAGCCACAAAAGTGATTTTATCAAACAAAAATAAATAAATTAGAATACTCTAGTGGAAAGTGCTTGACTTGGAGTTATCAATAACTTAACTGATGCAATGCAACTTTGTCAGTTGATCAGTAACATGCAGAGCAATATTATATTTCAATTGGACTATGTCTTTATTAATGTGTCTTTTATTGCTATCGGAAAACGATTTGTATCTATAAAATGAAATAAACTTGAACTAAATCGACTCGGCTTTTGATGGTGAACAGGAATATATATATATACCTTATGGGGTCAAACATGTTTCTTTCTGCAACTAAAATACTTTCGCACAACTTTATTATAGTTTTTCCCATTTTTTATTGCTTCAAGGTATAAAAGTAAAAAAAATAATAAATGAAAATCAACTGCGACTTAAAGCAAATCCACAAACTAAAAAAAATTGGGAATACATTTGTCAAAAGCAGAGATGCAGCTGTTGCATGCCACATGGGCAACTGAAGTGCAACGCTAGAATGCCCGAGCCTCATGTCAGGCCACAACAATAAGGCATTTGTATGCATGATGATGGGTGAACTGGGAGCTGGAAGTGGGCGTGGTGTGGGAGGGCAAGGTGAGTGAACGCGTGCTAACTATTTTTTGTTAGCCATAATTAGTGTCAAGGTTGAAATTGCGTGGGCAACAGTGGGTTAAGCAGCGTAAGCTCGTCACGTTGATGAGGCATTAAGTTGTAAGTGGCTCGGCGTCACTGTGCACCCACCCACTGGCAATGCATAATTAAAGCACAGCGCCTCATTATAATTTCCATTAAAAACTGGCTGTAAAACTGGCTGTCGTCAACTCCCCGCAATAACCGCAAAATGTCCGAGGCACTGTGCAACACTTTTCGTATCCTGTATCCGCTTCCCTTATGGCAAAAAAATTACACATATGAAAGATATATATATATATATATATATATGTGTATATATATAAATTACGGTATATCTCCTTGCAGTTAATTAATGAAATATGCATGCCGTGTAATTATATTTGATTAAAAACAATACATGCATTTGGCCAACTATAAATGAACTTTAATTATGTTTCGCCATCTGTTGTTGTTGGTTGTCATTTATGCCATTTCCATTTCTTTTGTTGCAATACATATTCGATACATTTCATATTCATAATTCATAATTTTATTGGACGCAACAATACAATGTTATTTTTTAATGCCATTTGCCTTTTGTTTGCTTAACGTGTCCGGTCTTTTTGTTGCACAATTGCATAATGGCCTCGTAGAAGGCAACGAACCCAAAGTTTTTTGTGTAATATGATTTTCTATATCGTCAAGTTACCCAAAAAACAAATAAAACAGAACGAAGTTAATGAATAATCAATGTGAAATCCATTTGCAACTAACTACACATAACGTAAGTATTCTGCAGAAAATGGGTTAAGCCGATTTAACCATACAAAAAATAATAATAATAAAGATATCAACACTCTATGAATATTGAAAAATAACACAATCCAAATCAAATACAAATATGCATTCATATCTCTGTTACACAAAGATAAAAGCCAAAATGAAAATTTACAAAATGACAAAATTCCACATTTTATTTCATTTTCGTGCACAATTCCGAAGGTTAAAGTGACAATGTTAAATTGGTTTTTCAGGGACTCTCTTCTCTCTCTCTCTCCCTTTGTTGGGGAATAAGTGAAACCTTTGTCTGGCTTTCTTACCTTGAATACTGTGCGCAATTATGTATTCAGGTCTTTGGAGCAGACAAGGGCATTGCCTGACCTCTTTTTGGGCGTCATCTGTACAACCATAAAAAAGCATACAGATTTTTTGTGAAACTTAAACACAAACCACACGCATACTATGACAACTGAAAGTCGTATCTTCTATTTATATAGGGGCTTTTTTGGTTGACAGAGCTTTATGTGCTGCAGATCTGCATTTTCTAACACTTATTCCCTCTGGTGACGTTAGTCAACACAGCAACGGCATTTTCTTATATGAAGCACAGTGCTGTGAAATTCTGCAAACTTTTTAACCTATTCCGATCTCAATATTGAATGCAATCGAATTGATTTTTCGCACGATTTTCATGAAAATTAAAACTCTTTTATTCATTCGAAGTTAAGTTAACAGATCAGTTTGGCTATTGCTTTATTATTATAAATTTTATTTATTGTTAACTGTAGTGGAATTATATAAAGATGATATTCTTCTGCATCCTTTTGTACTTAATACGTACTCAATTACAAAGAAAGAACTAAGTTTATTAAATATTATATTATGTTAACACGCTGTTTTGCTTACTTTGTATTTGCATATTTATTTCATTATTTTCCCATTCATTTATAATAATGATATGCATGTGCGCATGTATAATTCAATAATTATATACAATTTCATTACTCCTCCCGCTCTCAAATAGCTTATGCATACTTTAGTGAACAGATTAACCTCCCCTTCCGCAATAGAAATATGCTGGTATCCAATTAATTTCCAATATTAACACCTTTCATTATGTTTTACTCGATACGATGAGACTAAGAAATAGACACACCGACATAGTAATACCCTTTGCGTTAGCAGTGTAATTATTTAAATTAATCATGGCCTTTGTGTTTTATCTTAATGAAACTTGGATTTGGATGGGTTTTCTTGACTATAAAAAATGATTGTTGGTTGGTGAAAAATATGTTGTTTAAAAAAAATCATTATTTGGGGTTTTTTTTTAATCTTTCTGTATATTTATATCCTTCTGTCAAATCAATGTTAATATAAAAAATCATTTAAAAAACGCAACTTTGACAAACTTAAGTCAACATTTTTGATATTGAGTGAGCCACTTAATGAATAGAAAATAATCTTATCGATCGCAATCAATTCTATATAGTTTCCATATGGTGTAGTTTGCATCTCCATTTTACGATCGCAATCAATTCAATATTGTTTCTATATAGTCTGAAGGATATCTGCATATTACGGCAAAGGTTTTATCTACGGCACTCCAAGGGCAACTGCTTTTTGTTCTCATCCTTGCCGCATAATAAAACTCAGAAACGCCTCAGAAGTTGCCTCAATTTTGTTGATCCCAAAAGTGGGGTGAGGAAAAGAGGGACAACCCCGTCCGCTGGGGTAGTTGACCAACCGCTGTGTGTCATCATCAAATAAACCGCAAACAAAGTTAAGCAAACCAAAATTATAAGCCAATTGCCTGGAGCCGAACAATAAACCTCCTCCACCCCCGTCCACCACCACCTTAACCCATTGTGGACCCCTTTTTGTGGTCGCCCTACTTTCTTTTCTGCGAGGTGAGCGTTAATTCAAGTGTATTATCCAAGCAATAAAATATAAAATATATGATGACTAATTGGCTTATATAATTAATATATACCTTTTGTAGTTGTTGCTGTTGGTGATATTTTATATGTTGTTGTCGTGGTTGTTATTGTTGTTATTGTCACGGGTTAACTGCACTTGCTACTCCGATTGTTAAACAACGTTGTCCGTTGACGTTAAATTGTTATTGAGTTGAAACTTGTGTGTACTGCAACCAAAATGCTTTAAAATTAGATGAAAACCAACCAAAGGATAAGGACTAAAATTTCACGGAAATTTGAAGGCCAGCAACCGAAGCGAGAAAAAGAACCCACAGCATAAAGTTCGGCGTTAAAATTACATTTTTATCCCTTTTTTTCTCCTGGGCAGGTATGTGTGGCAGCCCTGAACCCAGTTTCCGGCCCTGTCGGCCACCTGTCCCAACGCCCAAGCAATTTTATTGGAAATGCAAATTGTGATGGCATTGTTTTTGCCATTAATTTATGTGACAGCTTTTTGGGTCCCTGGCGACCCAACAAACTGACCAGAAAGTTACTCGAAAATCTGTTTATTCACTGTGTAATTGAAGTAAGTTTTTTTGTTATATTTTGTTGTGTTTTTTTTTTCTTCGCAAAGAATATTTATTCAGCTATTCAATTTAGTTGTCAGAGTACACGGCCAACTATTCATTTATTTTGAATTCATTTGCATAATTTTCCAATTCATTTTATAGACGTCAAAAACTAATAGTTATCAAGGATTTTGCAATCAATTGAAACTCTTGCTGAATTGATTTTTAAGGCGAGTTATTTATTTATTTCTTTTTGTATGGCACATTGCCCAACACCTGGCAACGAAAAATTGCAAAAGTTATTTTGGGGCGGCCTTCAGGATAAACAACAAAATCAAAACAAAAGTTGGGTAATTTTTTTTTCATGGTTGTCCTTCGCTGACCGAAACGAAAAATGGGCTGAGAGATGTGATGAGATCTGGCACTGGCCACTGTTTTTAAATAATACGAAAAAAAAAACTGTTGTTTAACATTTTAAAGCATTTCGGGAACATTCGGTTAACATGTTGATCACTTTTATCGGGGCACAAAATAAACATTATCTTGATGTTTTCAAACACTGTTTACGCACTATGCTTTCTTGTGGCACTTTAGTGTTGCATATTTAATTGCTCTCCATTTTTCTTCTTCTTCTTCTTCTTTCATGTGCTCTCTTATGTGTTGACTGCTGTTTTAGCTTTATTATTTATTTACTATTATTATGCACATTGAGCAACTTTTACTTTTAACTCGTTGCCGCACCTGAAGCTGAAGCACGCACACAAACACACACACACACACAAACACACTCACACACACTGAGAGTGTGTATGAGCTGGCTGGCTGTGTGGGTGTAGAATATGGATTGTGAACTGTCTTTAGACTAGGCCAAAGCAATGCGATTACACCGTTAGAACGACCGAACGGAACGACTGCACTAAATATACTGAAACAAGGCACTCGAAGTAAGCCACAACAAACGAGTGGACCAAGCGACCCAAGCGGAGCCGACGAGCTAACACCCGAAGAGCGGCCAAAGCCAAGGCGCTTTCTAACGAGAGAGAGAGAAAGAGCGAGGCGGAGAGTTAAAGAAAGCTTTCGCTATTTGATTGCCAGCACAGTGGTGCAAGGCTTAGTCAACATGTGTGCGTTCGCTTCCAATGCGCTCTTTTGAATTTTCGAACTTCCTGTTGGACGGGTACGCTCTCTCTCTCTTTCTCTCTCTTTCACTCCCTGTTTCTCTTTACTCAATTGCCGGCGCACATATAATATGCATATACTCTTTCGACAGCATTTATGATTGCCGTTACATATTTTCATTTTCATTTTTTTCACTGACACATTTACAAGCCAAGAACGAATTTAAACTGCAGCAAATCGGTTAATTTAATTTCTACTTTACTTTGCACTTCGACAGAGACACAAACAAACACACACACAAATACACACAAACACTCACACATACGAGTGCAAAGTGCAAGACAAGGATAGACACTTTGGCATCCAGACATTTGCACTGTTTAAGCACTTAGGGCACATTAAGTTCCTTGGCTGTCTGCCCAGATCAAAACCAAAGCTCACACTACTAAATCCCCTCCCTCACCCGCCTCACTCCATTGGGCGATGTTTGCCGAACACTTTCCCCTATTCGCCTAACTGACACTGACACAATATTAAATGGATTCGAATACAATTCGTGTGTTTAACCAATACAAGGAGTATCCCACACTCGCAGCACCTTTACCATTATTTATTTATTTTCTTTTCTTTCTTTTTTTTTTAATTTTCTCTTTCATCTATTTGGCTTTGTGGGCAGTACGAAATGAATGCAAATCTAATCAATCTATTCCTTTTAGTGAGAACTAAGTCCAGCTAGTTATTAATTAAAAATACAACTTATTTACTGCTTCTAAGGAAGCGAAAACATAAGGAAGCGAAAACATATTGAAGTTCAATGTTATTAAGTGCTTGTGGAGCATAATAGGACACGTAACTACTGAATTTGATAAACAATTGTTCCATTGCATAATTAAAAGATTGTATTTTGCCAAAATATTAGAACTGCTCAAATTAGACAAGTAATTAACAAGTAACAAAGAACAAAATGGGTGTAGCCAAGAAATACCGTCCAAGTTTGCCTTTCAAAATGCGGTAGATATAAGCTTGTACCATTCCTTCGAAGTTTGGTAACTGTAGTTCTCAAATTACGGAGATATGGGATTTGGGAATTTTGGGGGCTGGAGTAGGCGTGGCCAAAAAAATTATTATAAGAAGGTTCTTAGTAATCTACCATCCAAGTTTGGTAACTGTAACTCTTAAATTGCGGGAGACTTAGGCTTTTATCGTGTTTGGGTGCGGCAGTGGGCGTGGTCCAAAATTGTTTAATTCGGGATTTTTTAAAGGGTGTTACTAGCAATATACCTTTCAGATTTTGTGATTATGATTTTATCGATTTACACTAACAGGTGTATCGGTTTAGGGAGACGGAGTGGGCGTGGCATTTAATTTTTTCCGATCTCTTAGGCGAGTTACCAATAATTTGATGACTATCTTACAAATTGTGGAAGATATGCGCATTTCAGATTTCTAGGCGCGGCGGGTGTGGGCGTAGTCTGAAAATGAATATGCTGATCCTTGGAGGAGGTTACCAGCAAGCTACCTTCCAAGTTTGGTCACTCTATCTTTGGATATGCGGGATTATCGATTTACACCTTCCGAAATATCGGCATTGATTAAAATATAATATCGGTTATGTTATCGGTTCTTAAAGGCGGCTACCAAACATTTTTTACCCTGAAACCACCTTTAAAATACATAGTAAACTTGCTGATAATATTTTGTTTAAAATACGTTTTGGCTAACAAAATCTATGTTTCTTATCAGAAATTTTGATAGTTGTCCGATGATACTATATATTGGAAATGGAAAACTATATATTTTCAATCGTGTAAGTTATTGTTTGTATTGGAAATAGATATAGATATTATAGATAAACTGAAATAAACTTGACATCTGTGTATATCTCTTGTATCCTCTGAGAGCTTAAATTGACTCTAGTCTTGATGCTGATCAAGAATAGATAGGCCTTATGGGATCAGCGATGCTTCCTTTTGCACAGCTTCATTATCGATCCTTACCTAAATTGCAGCTCGATTGCAATTTGTCTCCAAATAAATGGTAAACAAGCAAAAAACTAAGAACCACTGAAATGTTGCTTTTATAAATAATGCAAGCGCGCATCCTTTATTGTCCCACAAATACTGTCTTCTTATTGGTTGATTCTTTTAGATTTATGGATCGCATTTGTACATCTTACGGATTTTGAAGAGATCGCCTGCGGATGGACCCACAACCTGACCCATCTCTCGATCGACGGGCACACCATCAGCGAGAGCTCGAATTGTCGGCTGGCTGGGATCCTTGGCGAAGGCATTCTTGGGATAGTGCATAACGCTGCCAAAGTCATAGGGTACATTGTGGGTGGTCGTTGTGGACTCTGTCATCGCTATGAACTGTGGCCAGTATTTGCGCGGAATGTTATCGTATTCGATGACAACATGCTCATCGCGATCCGGACGACTCTGCTCGTGATACAGGCCAAGCACATGTAGCGTCTCATGCTGAATGATGCCCGTCTTTGACAAGCACTTCTCGGTAAGGTGGACATCATGCGAACTGGAGCCCAAGCCAAGCGCTATAGGATTATAGCCGACACGAGTGCCGCACATTTTGGGCGACTTCTTGAAGTGGACATAACGACTGCCCACCGGAGCCGGACCGGACAGCTCCTCAAAGTGCAGACAGGTCTGCTCGTCGAAGGTGGCCAGAGCGGTGCGGACATTGGCCGCCTCCTCCGGGCTATAATCGCTGGCCAGGCGATAGTAGATCCTCGTTGTGGGCCACAGTTGGAGCGGTGATCGCATTGCATTCCGGGTTTTCACATCGGCCTGCTCATCGTCCGCATCGATCTCGTTGTAGTAGTTCTCGAAATACTCGGTACCCTGAGCACCCACAATGGCCAACAGGCCCAGCACGGCAAACCACATTTTGTCTGGAGTCCAAATGCAGCTGGCATTCGGTTTTATAGGCAAAAATGAAAATGCATTTTATATTTGTTGAAAATATAATTATCAGTTTTTCTGTGTGTGTTTTTTTTTTGCATTGAAAGTGTGTAAACTAAAGTTTCACATGCATAGATAAACACAAGTGTTCAGATACATAAATATACATATACATATACATATACATAGATATATACACGCATTGTTGTTTTTTTTTTGTTGAGAAATAACAACTAAGAATTAGCAACACATTCTTATGCAACTATTCCATCTCTTGCCCCCGTTTAGCGATTGCTGATTCCATGCAGCCAAATTCGACATTATCCCTGCTTGATGGGACAACTTACATGGCTAGGCGATAATACAATTTGCATAACTTAACATAGATACAATATTTATACACACACACACGCACACACACTCACAAAGTATGTGCTTATATATATATATATATATATGTATATATATAATGTACATAAAACGCTTTTGTATGCATGACAATGTAATTCAATCATATTACGTCTACACTGGCGGCCAGAAAAAGTGCTATGAACTAGCGAGCTTTTTAAACAGTTCCTGAGTTATAATACTAATGCATCAGAAGTTGTATATATAATTTATCAATCATAATTATTTGCATAAGTTTGCAAGTAAGTTTGCAATTTGTTAACAAAAACTACAACCAAATTAGTTTGAAAACATTTGCAAATATAACTAAAATTTAGTTTAATTATAAATGTAATTGCCAATGAATACTAATCATGATGCGCACCTTATCAATTTAAATTACATATTACATATTGTACAATTTTCAAATTAAATCTCGATATCACTCCTCAAAATTGTGCTACAAATCGGCTCATTTGCTTTGCTCTGCTGCTGCCAGTGTGCCACTTGTTGTGGCCACCAGTGTGCGGGCCATGGTTACCGAATGTGGCCCGTGGCAGGTGCAAATATGGCACGCCCCAATGCATAACATTAACATGCCAATTGTCTCTGTTCGATAAGCACAACCAAAGGGCATCATTCATCGACTTGACAATTCCTTATTTTGTATGCGTTTCGTTATTTTTTGTTCTTCTTGTTTTTTTTTTACATTTTACATTGTATTTTTTTTTTTGCGTCTTGTTTGTTTGTTCTTAACACAGAATATATTGCATTTGAATGAATTTCTAATGTATATTTAAGTTCTAGTTGTTAGCTTGAGGCATAAGCTACGTGCTGTGTTTTTCTTTTTATGTAGAGCGTAGTCATCGTCAACATCAGCATCAGCATCAGCATCAATCGATTGAGTGCATTGAGAATCGAGTCAACCAATAAATATGGGTAAATAAATTGCTAATTCTAACTCTGTTCTCATTTTTTGTGTTTTTTTGTTTTTTGCTTTCTTTTATTGCTTAGGCAGACGGTTCAGTATGAAGAATGTGTGGATGTGGGATGGGAGGGATGGGTTTACTGCAATACATGCTAAATACGCATAACAATGTGCAACGCGTGGGCGTGGTCGCAACAGCTATGAGGACCTTGCGTCAGCCCAATAAAAAAAATAGGCGTGTGCAATTATTTTAGCTGCCCGACTGCGCCACACACGTGGCGTATACATAATAATATTATTATCATATTTCATTACATACAAATAGAGAAAAGAGTAGCAAGAACACAATTAAAAAAACAAACAAACAGAAAATAAACATTTCGCAAGCAAAATAGTAAACAGCAAATTTAAATTGTTGTTGTCGTTGTAGTTGTAGTTGTTGTGGTTGTTGTTGTTGTTGTTCTAATCATAAACATAATCGTTGTCATCTTCAGCATCATCGTCAATCGCTTTCAATCCTGATCCTTGTGCCCAGGCAGCCCGCACCAGGATTGGGCACTTCGCTTGCAAACATCACAAATCAGTTCCTAGTCATTAGTAACGCTCTCCCATCAGCTCCTAAATATTTATAAGTAATAGTAGTTGTAGTTATAGTTGTAGTAGGTGTGTGTGTGTGTTTTATGTCTATCCACGTGGCATGGCTTCGATGGCGGGCGGGCGTTCGAGCGATCAGGTAAAAATGTTCGAGTTTCTCCTCTAGTTGCAAACACTCGCAACTTGCAACAGCTTGCCTAGTGCAACTCGATGAATTTGTAGAGCGCCGGTGGCACCGCCTCCTTATACTTGATGCCTTCCTGTTTGATGGTCCTCGCCGCCAAACACGCCAGCGTTGTGTACTTCATGGGATCGATTATCTTGTGCAGAGCTGTGGGCGCCAGCAGCGTCTCAAAGGTCTCGCCGGCATCGTTTCGCGTATCCTGAAAAATATGTATATATATATATGATGTTTTATATATATATATGTTCACAAAAATATCTACTCACCAAATGCGCACCACCTTCGAGGAGTGTGTGAGCCAGTGGCTCCACATAGAGCTGGAGTGAGGCGGCCAGATGGAGGGGTGTATTGCCGGCATCGTCAACGGCATTCGGATCGGCACCGACCTCGAGCAGCGCCTTGGCCAGCGATGCCGATGGGAACTGGCAGGAGGGATAGCGACCGACGAGGGTGCCCTCGCGATAGCAGGCATAATGGAGCGCTGTGCGACCGGATCGCACATGCACCTTGAGACGGTTGAGGCGATATAAAGCGTTCATCACCTGATGCCGCATATCCGGACAGAAACTGTCCGAGTCCAGCAGCGAGCTGAGCAGGCAGCCAATGTGCAGGGCACTGACCAGAGTGCGACTGAGCGCATTGGGATCATGATTGCAGTCGTGCTGATGCGCCGACAACAGCGTCGTCGACGATGCTGCGGACGATGAGCTTGAGGTGGATGATGATGATGAGGTTGATGTTGCTGTTGTTGCTGATGCTGATGTTGTGGAGCTGTTCGACGTTGCTGTCGATGATGAGGATGGCGATTGTGTTAGTTGTTTGCTACCAATGCCGCTGCTGGCAGCGGGCAGCATCTGCTGCTGCTGCTGTTGCTGCTCCAACGTAAATGCCTGGCCCCGCTCCACCTCCAGCACGGCCTTGTGAAAGATGGTCAGCATGCCGTCCGCCTCAATTGGCGGCACAATGCGTCCGCGCGGCAACAGCCGCCCCGCCTCCACCAGCATAAAGCTAAACAGCTCGGCAAACGACAGCAGCGACGATTGCGTCATCGGACTCAGTGGTTGCAAGATTTTCTGTTGCATTGTCAAGGCATACGACCAAAGCTCAATGCAACGGTCGAACCGACCAGCGTCTGCATAGTGGGCACCTCTGCAAGCAAAACCAAATAGTTTAATAACGGCCAGCAAACGTAAACTCGTCGAGTGTGATCGACCAGGAGATACCCTCTAGATAAATAAACACATTAGTCTTAAATTAGACAGACAATAGTTTGCTGTGTTGCTTGGGCATAGGAATGGAACTTAACATGAAATGGAACTTATCATTTAAGTATATCCCTACAATCTCTGGAATATCTGATAATTTGACGTTGCAGCCCGTCTACTTTAAATCCAAATGTGTGGGTCGAAAAGACAATATTTTATTGAAGCTATTGCCAAATGAAAACATCAACTTGCACGACAAATTAGTAGTCCAAAGAATTCGGCTAGCAGATACCCTATATATGAATTCTAAATACATAGTTGGCTTCTGCTCATAATCGTTTCTTCAATATGAAAATGTGCTTTGGTCAGCAAAATCTGTGCTTTTTTTTGCGATCTTAATGAGTTGATCATTCATATGTCTAGGTAGATATTATATATATGTTATATCGATATTCATAAATGGGAGCATTTATCGATAAATTGAATTATGTTACAAATTTAAAGCGTCTAGTTCTTACAGTCTCTGAGATGGCTAAGTCAACTCGGCTGTTGTTGCTGACCAAGAATATATATATATATACCTTATGGGGTCACAGATACTTCCTTCACCCTGCTCACTGCATACTTATTCACAACTTCATTATAACCTTTGACCCATTTGTAATGTGCTTGGCGTACTAAAAGGTGTATGAAGAAATCAATATTTATTGATTTTTGGGTAAGCTGGCAAAGTCATTGCAAATTGAAAACATTTACATTAGTGGAACTAAATTCGTTAAATATTTTAGTTAATCTAATAAATAGATAAATAAATTATTCGATTAACTTAAATATTAATCAGTTGGGTTAAGTTGGGTTAGTTTTGACGGTTGGATCTCACTTCCTTTCATGAATCGGGGGGTTAACAAGCCAGTTGCATTTCTGGCTGATCCCAAATGCTCTAACTGTGTTGGACTAGATAAGAAGTGCCTTCATAGTATGCCGCATCTTTTCCTCGGACAGAAGCAGAGAAAGTGTTCCGGAAATTCTACTTTCCACTAACCAGTTATTTATTGCGTTTACTATTTAAATTGGGCCAGGTTTGGCGTGCTATTCGACCACAGTTGGCATTTAGTCATTTGACATTTTGTCAGTCATTTGTCATTTGACCTGAGCCTATTATTTCTCTGATTTGGGGCATGCTGGCTACCTGAGGCATACATATACCTTCCTTATCCGAAAGGAGGGTTAATAGTGTGCCTTTTCCAGCTATCTGATCAGCTTTGCAGTTGCCTTCAGTTGGAATAATTATAAGATTAACTTAAATATTAATCAATTGTGGCCATACAAATAAATAAAAGTTAGGAAGTCTTTAATTTGGAAAAACCCAAAAACAATCAATAAAATATCTACTCAGCTCTTCGTTGAGATAATTAACCTTAATTACTTATGTATGTATCTACTTTGTGGGCTTGAAGATGTCTCCATTGGCTGGGTTATGCTCATATTTTGCCTACCTGAAACGAATGTAGTAGCTGGTGTCGGGATGCGTTGGTCCAAGGATGCGCTGTCGGATGACTAGCGCCTGCATGCGCATCTCGTCGGGATCGAGAACGAGCTCCTCCAGCTCCTCAATGGTAGTCACTTCGGTGACCAGCTCGTAGGCCGGCACCGGCTCCTGCACTTTCTTGTCTAGTGGCGGATCCTGTGCTCGCTCTTCGAGCGCTCGCCGCCACAGCGTCAAGGCGACAGCAATATCACGTTTCTTATCCACATAGGTGGCACCCAGGAGCTCGAGTGCATCGATTCGTGCCACACGACTCACACAGGGCAACGTTATCAGGTGTTCCACAATGGGCATGTGTCCGGTGACGCTGGCCGCCAGCAGCGGTGTCATGCCATAAAAGTCCACATCCATAGTGGCGCCGTGCTTCAGCAGCAGCTGCAGTATTTGCAGCGAACCCGACTCCGCGCAGTCGTGCAACGCCGTGTTGCCCTTGATGCTGCAACGATTGACGTCCGCATGCAATGACAGCAGATACTGTGCAATGCGATAGTGCCCCTTGTAGCAGGCAATCATCAGGCAGGTGTGTCCATGCCGATTCGCCACCTCAAAGTCTGCAACAGAGACAGAGAGAGAAGGAGAGCAGCAATGATGAATTAGTGCCTTGAATCAAGTGCAGGCCATGCCACATGCACACTTACCTGCACCATGATGCACCAGATACTTGACGATCTCGTAGTGGCCATCGAAGCAGGCGGCACGCAACGGTGTCGAGTTCGTTCGCGTCGTACTATTCACATTGGCGAATCGACGCACCAGCATCTTAACGATGCCCAGATGACCGGCGGCGGCCGCACACCACAGGGGAGGAGCATCCTCGATGGGTTCGCCGTCGAAGCTGACGGAGCCCACCTGTTCAACGTTGGCTCGACACTTTGTCAATAGGTATTCTACAATGTCGTAGTGTCCGTTGCGACAGGCAATGACCAGCGGTGTGGCTCCATTCACTTTGGCCGATATCAATATCGCAATATCCACGCTGCTCTTGTTATAAAGCACACTCTGCAAAATGAATACCAAATGCAATTAGTATTTATAAGCGAACACAAACTGGATTTATGATTTATGTTTATTTAATTATAATTCTCGGTTAGCGTATCTTTTTCATTAGTTAACCAACAGCACTCTTATTATTGGGTTCAATATTCATATTCTAATTAAATGCGATAAACAACTAAAGCATTTCATATATTCATTTGCATATACAAGTGGCAAGCTATTAAATTCTATATATATTCTATATATAAAATCGATTAACCTGTCATGGTTATAGTTTAACACACTCAAATCTAAAATTATAATTAGGCAAATTCATTACAATTGAGCCGGTCGAATGGAAGTGAAAATAATGATAATTTTTATTTTTTAATGCAGCGCTACTATTATTGTGACCGCAACTGTATACATCAGCGGCGCTGCTTCGATTATCTTGCTGCTCTCTTCTCTTCTTCTCGCTTTCGCTTGCAGATATTTGATTTGTTTATTATGGTTAATAAAGTGGGTGTTTCTTATGGGAACTTGTTGAAATGCTTACAGCTGATCAGTAATATGTCTTTCAAATTATGCCTTTCATTGGTATCGAAAATCGATTTATATCATTAGGATCGAAGCTGTGGGAGTTACAAATAAAATAATAAAAATTAACGTTTAAATTTGAGCTACATCAGCTTTCTATACTGATTAAGAATATATTTGCAGATGCTTTTTCCATCTGCTACAACACTTAACACTTTTTAATGGAGATTAAAGGTATAACCAAATGGTTTTTATACATATAAATATAGACAAATGTATATATATATGCATAAACAATTTAAGAGATTAGCAGCGGATATACTTAGTATATTTTTATTTTATTACATTTCTGAGAGCATGTTGTCAAACAAGCTAGTCGGCTTTGTGAACTCGTAATAAATGTTGAGCTCTCTCTCTCTCTCTCTCACACTCTCTCTGTCTCTCTTTCTCAGTCTATCATAGAAGTTGGCAATTAAATTATTATTCAGTTGCTGGCATAGCGAAATAGAATTATATGGAATTATTTGTGTACTATTGCAAAGACCAAAGAACTAAAGCCGATTATAGAAAATTTGCTACAAAAATAGCGAAAATCAATAAATCAATAATCTATTTTCAGCTTTGATATTTTATAATAATTTTCGCTATGTTTTGCAGTTACAAATTTCATAGTTTTCACATTCAAATATATTCATATTCAACAGCCAACATGATGAAGCAACATAGCACAAACACGTCTGTTGCAGCAACATAGTCTTTGCAACATGTTTTTGTTTTCTTTTCTCAACTTGGCTAATTTTAACATGGGGAAATTCTACAGAAAAAAATAAATATAACACAAATTTCTTATCAGTGAATTTCTTATCGATCGCCCATGGGAATCATGTATATATTTTTCCCCGAATACTTTTTAGTATGCCAATAACATTTGCAATTAAAAACCAATTCGTTGAACAATTAATAAACACAAAATATAATTTATCTGTATCCACAACGCACAAACATGATAAATAAATGAAAAATAAAAACACTGCCAAAGTGCTAATTAAAATATACAAAAATATGTCGAGAGAGTCGCAGCAAGCAGCAAATCTATTATCAATATGAGACTGTTAGAATGATAAAGTGACAAACAAAGAGAAAGAAGAGAGAGAGAGAGAGAGAGAGACAGAGAGGGGCGGAAAGCTGAGCGCAATCAATCAGTTTCATTCTCTCTCACTCTCACTCTCGCTCAATCGCTCTCTTTCTCTCTCTCTCTCCCTGTCTTTGTCACGTTTGCCTTGTCGGTTATTATACTTTTACAGCTTTATTTTGGTTTAGAATGACGAACTGAGTCGTTAGAGCCATGTGCGTATTTTTATTTAGCTCGCATTACGAATATAAATCTTAACAATTAAAATGTCTACGCAAACGATTGACTATTAGGCTTATGTATTTAGGATTGATTATGTCCTGTTTATTATTAATGTTGGGGTTTTAAGCGGCAAAAGTGATGCACTTGGTTTGGCGGTTAGACAAAGAAAAACATTTATTCAATGTATTCTTATCGTTGGGGTATCGAGCGCAGCATCGACATCCCTGTTATTAACATTAGTAATCGGAATGTTGTATTGATCTTTTTCATATTTTCAACAATTAATATAAGCGTATTACAGATGAGAGATGAATATTGAATTTACAACGTAATTTTCGACTCTAAAAAAAATACTTATTTCACCGATGCACCCGATACAACTTTACAACTTTTAGGCACTCCGGAATCGACTCTCTCGATATGCTGTTCTTCTTCCATTAATGCTTATGCTGCTGTTAGACATGTTAACCAGCGTAACTACTCATTACATATAGATAATACTAAAAATAATATTCAATAACTATATTTTCTAGCTTATTTACCAAAAGCTAGAAGTATCAGCAGCTTGTTTATTATAAATCGGCAAGCGGATATTATGAGGGAAAAGTATAAAGCAGACAGAAGGAAGCATCTTCGTATATATGAATATATATTCTTAATAGGTATAGATAGGTTGTATGAATGAAGCCAAACTCAGAGACTATAAGACTTAGATGCTTTAAATTTAACATATCAGTTCGCACAAGGCAGATTAAATTAATTTCATTTTCATTTTGCATCGACACAAATCGATTTTTTATAACAATAAAATCCACCATTTTAACGATATAAATTTGTTAAAGATTTTAATTATAATGTTAATAATCTTATAGATATCCCATCTTTAAATTTTTGCTTATTCATAATTTCATAATTTTCTAACGATATTTTGACAATTTTTTTTTACATTTTTCATATATATACAAAAAAAAAAATACATATTTATATATGCAAAAATGTTTTAGACACGAGTTTGTCGCAAGACGCGGATTTGTTTTTCGGTGTGATTTTTTAATTATTCTACATTACCTGTTCTAAGCATAACAAAATGAAATCTTTCTCAATTAACTAACTGGGTTGTTAAAAACTAGAAATTAGTTAAACTAGAACCGGTGTCTTAGCAAAGCGAATACATTAAAAACAGCTGGCTTCAGGGTATCTGCTGTTCGAGCTTTCTTACTTGTTTTGCGCCAAATTGCCAATTTGAAATTGAAATTAAACGATGTCAAACGATTTTCGGTTTCACTGTATAAATATTATGTTATCAACTGCAGCACAAGGGGTAGACAACAACCAGCTGAGGGGTCTGCCAGACCGCGTGGCAACAGTGAGCTGCTGTGGGGTGCGTGGCGGCAAATGCTACCTGATTGTTAATATATGTATATAATATGCGAGTGTTTAAATCTTACTCTCTGTTGTCATCGTAGAACATTAATACCACGTTGACTCAGAGTTAAATTTAAGTTAAAGCCGACAATGAAATAAAATAAAAACTAAAAACTTGACTGACGGGTAATAATAAAACTAATAATAATAATATTGTGGAGACAGTATCAAGATTGAGCACATGTTTATACGAATATATAGAAATATTAGCTGCTAAATATGGACTGATAAAGTCGAATCGACTAGAAAGTGACTGAAAGTGACTGCAACCTTAGCAGGTGTCCTCAACTCTTGCTTTCCCTTTCCTTAAATTACAAAAAGTGCATTTGATATTGTTATGTTGTAGATCAAAGTCAAAACGATAAGAAAACCTTGCCACAATGTTTAAATAGATATGGCAACGACTTCGTTCACTTCCCCCATTGAAAAGTCAGACACGACAGAAACAGAATGATACGATTACGATTACGAGCAGAAAAAATAAAATATAAAAACCTTGTCAGAGACACACTGATACGCATTGTATTTGAAGGCAGTGTATGCGAAACCGTGGCGACTTATCAATCTCAATTAGAGCATTCATCACCTAGGCGTCAAATACACCGAAAAAAAAAAAAAAACCCACAACAGCAGCTGCCAGCTGAGAACCAGAAATATATATATAAAAAAAAAAATAAAATAAAAAAACACACACAAAACAAATAAAAACAGAGAAATAAAAAAAAGACCGCTGGGGGGAGCACTCAATCCGAAGACCTTGTGAATGCCGTGCGGCATTTTATTTTATTTTATTTCATTTCATTTCATTTATTTATTTATTCTTTTCTTCTTTTGTCATTGGTTTTCCCATAATTCTCTCATTATATGTCTGCTGGTTGAATCTTTGGCTTCTCTTCTACAACGTATAAGAAACGGTTTAAGCTTCCTGATTGCTGCAGAGACAAACGGTCTTTCTTTCTTTCTTTCTTTATTCTTTATTATTTTGCGTCACATAATGGCCAACATTCTTTAGCATTAACCCCGCCCCCCTCCTCCACCCGCTTCCTCCCTCGCACTCGCTCCCTCTCGCTCTTGCTTGAGCAGCTCGTGCGCGTGACATGCAAATTTTGGCAACATTTAGCGTATTCTCAAAGATAGACATTTGTTGTTGTTGAATTGAAATTGCTGCGATAATATGAAAACAGCAAGCAGACAGCGACAACAATAAGATAAATATTTATATATATATATATATATATATATGTATTTGTATTATCTGCTACATATCAAAATTTACGCATCAAAATTTCAGACGAAGCCTTGCACAAAATGTTTACAACGACCCCAATTGAAAATTATATGGAGCTGTGTATGCATCGAGATCAAAATTGAGATCGTCATTTCTCAGCGCCTCATCAAGCCCATCCACACTGGGCTACTGAACTTTAAGTCGTGTCGTCGAACAAATTAAACAATGTCAATTTGATGACGCGATGAACCAAGCAACCAGCCAGCACCGGCGGCCAACGGCAGCTGCTGTTTGCTTTTCCGCATTATAGCGTATACGCAGCCGGTTCCCGGGTTGCATACTCAATTAAGATTAAGCCCGCCCCACGACTCAACAACATTGCTGATGAGTCATGCAGCAACAACAGCAACTACAACTACAATAACAGCCGTTGGCGATCGTTATAACGATTAGCTGGACGACTGCCCCAAAGTCTCGTTT